TATACACACTGCCAGTATATATTACATATATATATATGTTGAAATATTGTCAAATCTTTTGTCGTTAAAAAGATAGAAGATTATCTCTTGTGCAGTTGAACCCAAAGCCAAGTGAGATGCTGTCTAGGAACAGCCCGGAGTGTGCTGCAGTGAGGCTGGCCACTCTCCCGCTTAGCATGCAAAACGGCAGGAGGAGAAGCCAAATTGGCAACAGGAAAAGCCTAATACGAGGCAGTGAACTAGGGTGGACCTTACTCTTTTGGTCTATTGAACAGCCAAAGTTTGAGAGGTTGGGTTTTCGTTCCTCTTCCAACACACAATATTAAGGAGGCTCCTACCGCATCGAGCTGGTGTCCGGAACTTTTGGAAGGGTATGAGCAAGCTTTCAGAAAACAGAAGCAAAAAAATTGCAAAGTGATAAACCATGTTATCACAAAGCCACTAAGAAAGTCTCATTTTTTTTCCAAGAAAGAAAAAAATAATAAAATAAATCGTCGCCCCTCTGTAGCCGCCTGAAAAGAAAATGAATTTTGATTTATATCTGGTGGCAGAAGCTAGCAAAGTTCACGCCAGAAACAACAGAAAACTCAGCCACAGGGTAATTAATGAAGATTACCTAAGGGTGGGAAGGTTTCTCTATTGCTAAAAGGATTTAAATCATGGTTTTATAAAACCACTAATTCATCCAGCCATTGAATACAAATCCAAGACATAACATTGCTCTGCTTGCTAAAAATAATCACAATGACTATAGTCAAAGTTACAACAATAAAGTTAAAAACTTGCTTTCTGGGTCACTTCTGAAGTTTGGAATAAAAAAAAAAATCTAACATGTTGCTAAATATGAATCTAAAGTTACTTCTGTGCTTATTTTTTTTTAAAAAAAAAATCAGATGTTTTAAATATCTCCCTAAATGCTTGTCGCTACTTCCTACATACAGTGAGAGAACAGATATCTTTATCTGATACAATGATAAAATAACGCTGTCTGTAATAAAATGATGTCTTTTTTCCAATTCTGACTGTTTAAAGAAAAGTTTGAACTAGTAAATTCTTTAAACGCTACAGGCAGTTATACTACAGGCCATTGTGCATGTTTTAGTAAAACTACCAACTGCAGCAGGATGATGAGATTTCTTCTATTACCATCTCTGGTTTCGATCCTCAAATCGAACCTTGAATTTTTCCTTTTCTTTTTCTTTTAATGGATAATTCACTGGTTTTACCTAGATTACATTTTAACTGGAATGTAAATAAGCAGCCATCCTATTCCGAAGACAATAACATTTCAATTTATCTGGAAAACCAAGTGATTTTATGGCACAATAATGTAAACTGCAATGACTCATTTAGAGAACAAATGCATTATTCTGGTAAAGTATTGCAGAATTGGTTTCGCTTTCTAAGTATTGATATTCTAGCATTATTGTTTGGTATGAGATATGCTTTGTGGCAACTTAATGAATTCTTTCAGTCGCACTGTAAGGCAGCATCCTCTGAAACAGTAAATATTCAGTGGTTCCTCCATTTATGGTTAGTTTGACTACTGCACTAACCAAAGTAGGGAAGAGCTAGGCAAATAAAGATTATTCCTAAAGAAGAGACTTAGAATCTGAGCTAATACATTTCTTTCTTGCAAATATTCCAAGTAACAAATCAAATCAGCTTACGGTTTGATTTTTTTCATATCAAGCATTTACAAACTTGACCACATGGACTGTAGGAATCCAGTCACTCTAACAAATCAACAATGACTTACTATGGCTTTAGAATTGTGTATACATTAATCATGGTTGTAGCTTTTTTTATCCCCTAACAAAAACTGTAATTTTTAGGTTGGATTGAGCTGGCCTTAATATGTTGTTTTACTTTTTCTGCCTTTTTAATTGGGAAGATCCCTTGATTCAAGAAGACATCGACTAAAGCAGTGAAAAAACATCAAATAGGGCAAGCTATACAATCTCTCTTAGTTGTAACAACCAAATCACAACCGTGCTCCATTTCTGATTGTTTATCAAAGCCAAGAAAAAAAATCACATGAATAGGCAACTGTTGAATTGCTTATGAAAATCCATGTATAATGACAGCTGTCTCTAGCTGCTTCAGCTCTAAAACTACTCACATGCTTTTCCAATACATTTTATTTGTGCCCTATCCAGAAAAGCCACTGCACACATTCCAATTTTCAATCATAAAAAATATGACTGGGTTTGAAGCAAGGAAAAAAAACCCAACAAAACACCACACATATTTTGTCAGAAATTTCAATGAAGAATCTGTGAATGCTGTTTCCAAAGGCAAGTTTAACACCAAGCTTTGAAATCTCGTGTTAAAATTAATGGTAGAGATCAGATAAATTGGTATCATGGGGCTTTTCAGAAACGCTGCAAACTTGGTAAAAACTCAGTCAAATGATACTGTGCCAACCCTGTTCCAGCTAGTAGCTACTCTTTACCTGCTGAAACAAGACAACACCTTTTCTTTGTTTTCCATATAGATCTTTTATTTGTTCTGCTCAACATATCATCTTCAATGTTGAACTACTTTACTAATTCAGCAGTTGATATTGAAGTCTCATCCCCTTCAGAAGATCCAGAGATCAGCATTACACATAAAGAAACCATGCCTTCTCTTCACTAACCCTCAGGATCTCTCCTGCTTCCGAAGAAAGGATCCGTCTTCCTGTCAAATCTGTCCTTCCATGGTGAAGAGTAAGGGAAAAGTTTCCCCTTATCATCACAAGCCCAAGACATCAAACCTCCTCGAGCAGAGGCGGAACATCTGCTCTCTTTTGTTGCCTTTTGCCCTCCGCCAAACCAGACTATCACTTCCCTTAAGCCCAGCTTGCCACAAGTGTTATAAATGGGACTAATTAGAATCCTAGTTGCCCATTACCTCTTTTCTTATTCATGTGACATTTCTGATATATGCGTTATACTACTTAGAAATGGTTGAGGTGACACAAACACAGCAGCGTAAACTTTAAAGTCACAGCAGACATCATGCAACTCTAAGAGGGACCAACTAACCCGGTAGGATAGCCGCTCACTGCAACACATAGTATGTTTACTTCTCTTTAGTTCGACACAAGAAGTAGCTTGGCATTCCTAGAAGTGCAAGTGGCCCAGTCATTTATTTCATCAGTAGTATCTTTTGCATCTTCAAAGATGGCTTTCCACAGCTAGACAGTTTGGGCACTGCACGTGTAGTTCATAAAACAGCAGAAACCCCGCCTCTCTCCAATAGAAGTCTTCAACAACAGTAATCTCAGGATTATTATATCCTCTTAAATTGCAAAATTCAGAGCAGTATAACCCCGACGAACACAAATTACACAGAAATGGATTTGATTTGCATGTAGTCACTGCTTCTTTCAGAATTAATTGCAAATATGCTGGACTGTGCAGTGTGTATGGATTAATGCCCTGATTCAGCAATGCTTGTGCATGTTTAACTGCACTTTTAAGCTAAAGCTAGGAGTAAATTGTCGAGACAATTAATTACGATTCTTCATTTGCCAGAAGAAACCACACCGTAAAGCTTTGTGCAGAATCAGTTACCCAGGCTTCTTGCATCCCTACAGAGATCGTAAAAAAAATCCATATGCATAGTTATCATTCTGTAACCCTCTCCATTAAATTACAAATCATTCACCATCAAATCTGCCTGTGAAATCAGCCAGTACAGACTATTCACACTTCCTATAGATTAAAAGCCTAACATGAAGCCAACCTCTAAAAATAAAATACCATTTAAAAAAAAAAAGAAAAAGAACAAACAACCCACACCTAACATCAATAATCATAGTTTTGAAAGCATCCTTGCACAGAGTATTAGCACAATTTGTAAGCAATTGCTTAACGGTTTACTAAATGCTTATGCTTAAGTAAACAAACAGCAAGAAAAATGTACTTTGAAGGCACAAATAAAAATTCACATCTATTTACTTTAGAAGGCTGAAAAGCCTGCTCTTTCATTGTTGCCATGTGAAGAAGTGGTGCAACTATTTAAATTCAATCACCATGGGAGTTCAACGCACACAACAAATAAAAGCTGCATATTATATCCTCTCCAGAATGTAAAGGCCAGCTCTGCAGAAATAACTGTTGTGGCACGAGTAAAGGCTTTAACAAAATGCATACGCCCCTGAAGCAGTAAAAATAAACTAGAATAAAATCAGATCAATAGATGTTACAGACAAGACTCAGTTGATCCATCCTGAAAGACCTATTTTCAAATACCTGGTTTCAGAGAATCACAGCATCACTTTGTTGGCCATGAAAAGGTTTGGGGAGGGGGGGGTGAAAAGGAAGAAAATCCCACATCATGACTGCGTTGCCAACTGCCCTGTAACACTGAGTGCCAACTATTTCAACAACACCTTAAATACCAACCAAAAATCCTCCAAAATATAAAACATGAAGATACTTTTGGTATGCATGAAGAGAGCATTTCAATATACCCTTTTAATAAAGTAATTTACATTGAAATAACATTCGTTCCTTATTTTTTGTATGGCTGTATTTACAGTGCTCTGTTGGAAGTATTTAATTTCAGGCCAAAGTAATTCTCTTTATTCTCCATGGTTTCTCTACAGCACTAGACCACTGGCATTTCTGATTGCAGAAATAGCTGCATCAAAAGTTATTAATTGTTGAGCCTGTAAAAATATTTAGAAGACCACAAAACTGATCGCCTACAACAGATACTGAAATTAATCTAAATTTCAATTCAATAACACAAAGAAGAATAAAAACCCCCAAATTTCTCTGACCGTATTCCCAAGGAAGAAAAAGAACAAATCCAAAAAAACCTCCCAGCCAACCTGACCATTGTTCTTTTTGACCACCTTCCTAAACGTTGCACGAGGCTTTCAAACAGACCAAGCCAAGTACGTTACTGGTGTTAGCCCACTGAAGCACATTTTTTCAAAGTTCCGCCAGAGGACCATCACTTTTGCCTCGCGAGAGAACCGAGAATCACATTTCAGGATCTCCTACCTCGATCAAAAAGTCTCCAGTTCTGAGGCCAGCTTGCCATGCTACTCCCCCTTCATCCACGGATTCCAAGTACTGCAAAGCAGGAAAGGCTGGAGTTGGGGTGAATTCTTCAATTGGTGTGTCAGCTTTAGAAACAAACATCACAGTAAAAAAAACAAACAAAAAAACAAACAAACAACAAACAAAGTTATGGAGTGCTTGCAAATACCACTTGACTAAAGGCCTATTATTGGCCATCCAAATTTACGGTTTCAGAAGATAAATAAATTAATGGTGCGTGCTAAAAGTCTGAGGGCTCTGCCTCAGAGGATATCAAGATGCTAGGAAGAGAGTGCAATCTCTCTGCAACAGTAATCCACAGGTCTTCAGCGAGAAAAGGACGTGCTGCTTTAGTGACACAAAGCAAATCCAGCTGTGTGAGGCAATAGCTGGATTCTGAGTGTTCCAGGATATTCAGTATTAGTTCAAGTAACCCTTCTGTACGTCTCAAAAAATGCTCGTAACTCTGGCAACATCCAGCTAAAACTGAATTATGTGCTGTAGCCAGAAGAGAGCATGTGGCCGAATTGAGGGGATGGGGTGGGTGGGAAAGGATGAAAAAAGATCAGACTGATTTTTTTTTCTTCTCGATTGAGACATGCATTACAAAGAAGGTAACAGAAGAAAGCACTTTTTAGGAAAGGAGGCACGGCAGGCCTCGCCCCAGCCCTCTCTCCCTCTCTCTGTCACGTACACGTACAAGCAGAAAAGTCCTTGGGTCTTTTACCTGAGGTGCCCTCACTGTTACAGAGAAAATCTGGGGAAAATTGCTGGGCTTACGCAGAGGAGTAACCTCTGCTCGCCACACACACGACTCACGCCAAGGGGACAGCTAAAAGCTGGCTTTCCTAGCACAACTCCATTTTTTTTCTTTTATTCAACTAAAATTAGACAAGCTTTTACAACACTGAAAATCTATGGCGGCACTGGTTTCGGGGTGGGGAAACAGGGAGAGCAAAAATGATGTCCCAAGAATGAAGATATGGAATAATTTTCATGCTCAAGCAAGGCAAGGGAGGACCCATGTAAAATGAGGGGGAGCAAGAGATGGGACGTACCATCGTATATATATTTTTTTTTAATACAAAAGCAGCAAACTGGACTGAAAGTTAAAAAGCAAAGCCTTTAATAGAATGCTTTTTTTAACTCTTGGGGATGCCATTATTTTAGATTTTAGTCCACAGCAAAGTAACATGCAGTTTAACATATGAACAGCTTTTAAAACGAGCACACTACAGGCCATACAACATACGTGCAGCTTCGGAAGATATAAAAAAAGATCATGTTTTCATATTAAAACTGCACCAATGTCACCTTGCAGAAGATCCACACCTATTTTAAACAAAACACCACTCTCTTGTCTATTCCTATCCAGAGACCTATTTAAACAGACTGGCATTTGAAATAAAGAAGCAGGTTTTATAAGTAAAGCAGGTTTCCCACAGTTAGGTGAACTGCATAACAAAAAAGACTAATGGCAAAATATTACATATACCTACACAATAAAAATATGGACAAAACTTTCTCCCCCCCAAAACAATTATACAGTGCTTCTCCTATATAAAAATGCATACTGCTTCAGACAGAAGCCACTAAAATCCATCTGAGTAGTATAGCATACAGAGAATCCTGTTGTCTAGCAACCAAGTGCACCAAGAATAATTCCTGCTTATATTCAGAGATGTATAAATTTCTTCATGCCAGTGCACATCACACACACATACACACACAGAAGCACATACCTTTTGCCCCTCTGAGTACAAATCCAAATCCTTCATTGTCTTTTTTCTGCAGGACCACTGCCTTTTCTTCTATTATGCAGTCACTGTAGAGAGAATTCCGAGGATAGCGACCATTATTACATCCCTTCATCACCACTGTAGTAGCTGCTCCTCCAGTGTGCAGGTTCATCATCATCACAGCCCGTTAATCAAATAATATTGCAGTAACCAAGCATGGGAAAATATAGAACAAATAGTAGCGAGGGGAAGACAAAGACCAAGCTGAATGATAAAAGAGAACATGACAAAGCAACTTAAAGAGAATAAAAAAGGCAGAGAGGAAAAAGAAAGAAGAAGAAATCATGCATGGTGGTTTGTGTTCTATATGAATGACTGAATGAACATGTGATCATGTAATCTGTGGGCTAGCTAGGACTCTAAAAGGAAAAAAAGTAAGTGAACTGAATGACAGTATCATTAATAAACTCCTCAATCGTGGATGTACCAGATGCATCTTCTAGTGAAGCCAAAATGAAACCAACCAGAAGAAAAATGAGGCAGCATTTTAAATTTAAAGATAATAAATTATGATTTTATATTAGCTAACTAAAAGGCACAAGTATATTCTGAAAGCTATGCCTTGCATCAAAAGCCCTTTTTCAATCCTATTGAATGTTGCATGCTGCAAGAATCCCACATGATCATCTGACAGCCTACAATGCTAACAACGTGCAGCTGCCTTGGCGTCATCAAGCACAAATTTCCACAGCATCGAGAATCTGCATAATTGAAATAGTAACAAGGCATGCACAAGCAGGAAAACGCATTTCTAAGGAATATTTCCCATCCTCTGCTAAACAATTAATGTTATAAAACTGGGAGACGGTGGAAAGGACTATTTATGTAAGCAGTATGCCCTTAAAGAGAAAGTAGCCTTAGGAATCTTACTGTCATTGGCTAAGAAAAAAGTACACGGCAGATGAAGAAAATGCATAAAATCCACATTAAAAATGGGACCTTTCATATACAGGGAACGACCTCTAAAAGCCTTAAGTTGTTCGGTGTCTTTCATCAAACATTAAGTTACTAAAATTAAGCTCCAAAAAAGAAATTTAAAAAATGACTTTGAATGCTCTTTTAAATATAAAATCATTACACAGCACAAGTTATAAGACATTCTTCTGAATAAAGACAGTGTCAGGGGTTAAGTATTCATGCATTTACGCTGCCAGGTTGGCTTTAAAACACCTACAAAGCTATTTAGGGTAGAGGGAAATACAAACAAGTTTTCTTTTCTTAATCTTTTCCTAGCTAAGTCCTGTTACCACTGGTCTTGCACAGCCTCTAGCCAATATGAGACTGGATCTATTTCAGCGCCATTAATAATCCAGAAGGGGAGGAGGAAAATAATTAAAGAAAAATTGGTGTGACCTTCGTATTTAAAGCTCCGAACCAAGACACGGATTATGACACCAGGACACCAACAGACGGCTGCCAGACCAACTCCAAGGGATGCGACCTCATGGTACTGCTAAAGTGATGATGCAATTACGCCTTCCATGCTACAGAGTATTCAAACACCACACATGAACTGAAAACTACCACAACGGTGACATTCTGAGCAACAGATGATCTCCAGAAGCATCAACAGCTTTTGAATGCCGTCTCTCTCACAATTAACACCCTTGCTATGGAAAGGATATAATCATCCCCCTGTTGGGGGATGCTGGGATAGGATATGCAACTCTCAGTGCTCCTGCTATAGTGCTCAAGCTCCCCATTAACATCCTAATGTTATGAGTACACTAAAAGAGTACTGGCTTGCTGTCTGCATTTCACCACGTGCATTCTCAAGGTGAGACTCCGTACTCATCCACCACAGAGTCAACAGTAAAGTTGTCTCCAGCCTTCTTCTTAAGACACGATTAGATTACGAAAACCCATTTCCTTCAAGTTTCCTTGTAAACTAACAGTAGCTTAATAGAAGTTGACTACTTTTGAGAACTTAATCATAGAAAGTGCTCGATTCAAAGAACACCCCTCCTGTCCCTGACCCAAATCCCACTGCCATCTCAATTCATTAACATAAAGAATCCAGGAGGCCTATTAGCTAGGTAGCTCATCAAACCTTGCTCCAACTCTTTCATTTTTGTTGACAAAACCAAATCAATTCATAATATTATTGCTTAAAAAGCTGAAGGCTGACGTTCCAAAGGCAGTGCTCAGGAAACCTGGGATCGTGCACCTGATGAACCAACAAAAGGAACAGGCGTTTTCAAGTAACGCTCACTTCATCCTAATGTAGAGGTCTATGAACATTCAGATTAAAATCAGGAAAGTCACCTATGATTTTCTTTCCATGTACTGCACATTTATCATATAAACCACCCAGTTTTACGCTTCAATACAAAATTGCCAAAAAAATTATCAATTTCTGTGCTTTATGTGCAAGGGGGAGGGGGAAGGGAAGGAGAAGCACAACATGAATTTTTGGTAACAAAATACACAAACTTATCTCTATTACTTGACAAATACTGCTTCAGTCGCATACTAATGAAAATTCCATCACAGCTTGTAAAGCAAAAAGCATCAGTTTGAAGAAATCAGATGTGTAGCCATTTCTTCTCTCTTACACGCTAGGAGAAGGGAGCCTGCAATAATCTTACGGCATGAGCAGTTTAAACTTCTTGAAAGCAATCACAGAGAGCAAAATCGATTCTCTACACACACCCCAGCACTGCAGAGCTAAGACAGAGCAGCACGAAAAGGACGGAAAACAAACACGCGCATGCAAATGAACCGAACTTGCAACCTCCATAGCCCTTCACCAGCAGCCTCAAGAGAAGAAAGGAAAAGGAGTTTAAACCCTGACTTTTTGCCATATTGCTTTTTGTTTGCTTTGCCACAACCAGGTTCTGTTATCGCAATGTCAGGCTGGACCTCTTCTTCACTGAAGACAAGGTCTGCTCACAGTCTACCTGGTCTTGGCAGGCAAAGTGGTGCCAAATGGAAAAGTAGGTCAAAATTTCTCACAATGCGCTTTCTTGGCAGCATCTCATCAATCCTGAAGGTGTTGTAAATACTTCGCAACAGAATGCGTGTAGGGTATTGGTACCAGTGGCAAATAACGGCGACCTGACGCTATGAGCCTGGTTGGAGGTCTGAGCTCAAGCAGGAGGAAAAGGCATTTCTTCATAGACGCTCTGAGGACGTTAGAGGGCTCTACATGAGGCTGAACAGGCCCTGGTATCCATGATGTGCCAAATTTCAACAGGCAAAATCCTTAAAGTCCATTCCTGTCCCGTCCCATAATTGAAATTAAACAGCGTCCATTTCAGAGATGGGTTTTCAGTATATTACAAGTTCCATACTATGGTAATAAAATGAGTAATTTTAAAATCAATAGCTCATTACTTAAAAAGGGCACACGTTACTTTGACTTTGGGATGCAAAGTTAAATGCAAATTACATCCTATCACATGCAGAATATTTTTGCATGAAGTACAGTCTTAAATATAAAAACTTCAGGCCAAAAAAAAAGGCAGCCTGAAATCACTTTTGCTTTTGCCAATCACTAAATATTAGAAAATATAGTTGTTCATCAGTTCATGTAGCTTCCCTAACACTTTAAAGCTCAACATTTGTGCAGAGCTGTTAGAATTCCATAATTTTACAGATTTACCAGTGGAGAAAGGGAAATAAAGGGATTTATCCATGGTCAGACATTTGAGATTTGAACTGAGCGCTGTTACATTCAACCTAACAATCATCATTTGCGTAGATTTTTCAAGACAGCAAGAATTTCTGCTTTGCTAACATTAAGACAACACTTGAGGAAGGAAGTAGAAATGTCAAGTCCTTCATAAAGATCTGTATGAAGAAAATAAATGTTGAGGCACAGGTTCCTGATGGAGGAAAATCCACAAAACTTAGCTCCCCTTTCACGACTAGAATAACCATACCCTATCTTAAAGCACAACTTATCTCAAAATCTAATTTTTTATCAGCACCACAGAGCACATTTAGGCAAGTGTATCACTGCAGATGTCAATCTGAAAAACCGCACAGAGAGTACACTCCGCTGTAAAATTAACAAATCCAAACCATTCCATAAATGTACACACAATGTCTGAAAGCAGTCATCCTAACTCCTTTCAGGCTAAGACAGTCAGTTTATGGTGGTTACTTTCAAGCCCATAGAAGGGCATTTGGGAAGCATATTTAAGCTTTTTACTCCATGTTCCAAAAGTCAATCTCTGTTAAAAGCACATAAAGACTGTTCTCTCTGAATGCTTCCCTTTATTTTTTTTTTGGAAGTTACCTGTCTCATTACCATATAAAATGGAAATAACATCTACATCAAATCTTAGAGAAAGATTTAAGTTCTTCCAGTGGAAAAACTTCTGTTGTCATTGCTGGAAGGGGTCAACATTGCTATTAATAGCCATCTACTGTAACGACTCCAGGAAAATCAGCTAATCTAATAATCAAGGCCTTCAAGAGTAACGAAGGCTCTGTATGCGATTGCTCAAGTTTCCCAGGCATTGACCACCCAGCTGTAGGTCTTACAGAAGAGCTTTCACAGCTCTTGTGCAACATGCAGAACAGCGGTCACTTGTTCAGGGGGTATCAGCTATAGCGGCAACCATGGAAAACAGGAAAATACACAGATGGTCTCTGCCTAACCCATGGGCAACCCAAACAGAAACAGCAAGATGTAATCAACCGTACATCCAAACTCCCAGGAACCTCTTTGGAATAGGCTGCCGTCACACGCAGCAATTCCATCACGTCAGGATGTCATTCATGGCACTGCAATGCAATTTGTCTGAAGAATGCGTTGTTTGGTAAATATACTACACAGCTTTGAACAACAACAGGTTGTTACGATAAGGAATAATTCACAACATGCCTCTACTGCCTTTGACAGAATCTTTTCATAGTTCCTCATGATAACATCTTAAATAGTCAATAATAATTTCCAGCTCTTACGGTCAAACATGGTTTATAATTTTTCAGAATGTGTGTTTGCTCTCTATATTTTGCTTTCTTCAACTACTTATTCCCACTTTCTAGTAATGCCTCCTGTAAGCAAAATATACTTTTATGAGAGATATTGAGTAAAAATACAATTACATATTTTGTAATTTTGTCCTGCCTTGTGTCAAGAACACAGGAATAGCGGTAACTCTGTGCAAGTGATCAGTCCTGCCAATATCATTCCCATCATATAAGACAAGTCTACATGGTTTTCTTTTAGAGTGTATGCTTATCTGGAAGTTTCTGGCAAGATGTGTTTGGAAGGAAGGCTGTTAGAAAATATTTTCAAATAGGTAGTTGATTAGTGCCTCTACATTAAACTCGATGAAGTATATGTTAAAGAAAGAACAGTGCTATATACGTCAGTGAATCTACGCTATAAAGCATTGCAAAGGAAAACAGGTTTTAAAAGAGAAACACTAAATTTTATGACACAAGTGAAAAGAAGTTACATGATTTCTTTTTATAGAACTGAGAAACTTTCTATGTGTATCAGCCCACATTCTTCTATCCAGCCTTTAATTACACCCAATATCATTTTTGTTGGCGCACAGGAGAAGGGAGTAGGTAACTTAAAGTAATATCCAAGTCAGTCAATTTGTCTAGTACTACTTTTAGGGTTGCTTTTTGGGTTTTATTTTTGGCAGGGAGAAAACAAAAAAGCCTGGTGGGGTCTCTCCTCGGGGAGAGTGGCCAAGTGAGCTTAAGAAAAGGAAAGATTCATTCCTCTATC